TGGGGATTTGAGAGAGGCAGTAAAGAGAAGTGGTAGAGACAAAGTTAAAGTCCTGGCAGTTGAGTCAGTCTCCCTGGGTGAGATCCCAGCTCCAAATCTGACCACCTCTTGAACCTTAGGCAAATGTCTGACCCTCTGTGTTTCTATTTGCTCATCCGTGAAATGGGTGCATTTATAGTTCCTGTCTGAGAAGTAATAGTGAGGATTAAATGAGATAATACAGGTAACGCCGTTGGTAAGTAAGGTAATACTAGTTATCATTATGAGCTTAGCCACTGTGCTTTGCCTGACCTCCAAAGAACTTGCAAATATAACAAGCTACCTCTACCTAGCGGTGCTGTATGTATATTGAGGGACAGTCCACGATAGAACTTTTTTTTTTTTATTGTAAACAGGAGCCCAATATAGGAATTACAAAGCAACTATCACAGATAAAAATCAAGTTACCAGATTTCTATCTAGTCCTTTATATACAAAGATTAGAATTGTAAAGAAACCCCTATAGTCAGTTAACACTAGAACTAAATTTCTACTGGTTATTTTATTCAGTGATGCTTATGTTACTATCTTTAGTTTAGATTCTTAAGTACAGTCTTAAAGAAGGTGGTTATTTTTCTAGATTTTTTGCTTGAAATAAGGGCTGTTGTCTCAAGTGTGCCAAGATCTTGGTAAGAACCTTGGGTTTGCAGAATCAAGTGAGTGCATTAATTTAAGTTCCATATAAAGCCAAAACCAAACCCATTGCCATCAAGTTGATTCTGACTCACAGCAACCCTACAGGACAGAGTAGAACTGCTCCATAGGGTTTCCAAGGAGCAGCTGATGGATTTGAACTGCTGACTTTTTGGTTAGCAGCCCATCTCTTAACCACTGTGCCACCAGGACTCCAAGTACCATGTAAGAACCCTATATTCTCTACTCCATACTACTTAAAAGTAAAAATATATTTATCATAAAGCACAGATTGAAAAAGGTGTAGAGGACAGATTGAAGTAAAACACGTGTTGTTATTATTGTTAGTTGCTGTAGAGTCTATTCCAACTCATGGTGACCCCATGTGTGCAGAGTAGATCTGCTCCATAAGGTTTTCAAGGCTGTGACCTTGTGGACGCAGATTGCCAGGTCTATCTTCCAAGGTATCTCTGGGTAGGTTCGAACTCCCAACCTTTTGGCGAGTAGTCAAGTGCTTAACTGTTTGTGCCACCCATTAGGTAATTTTCTTATTCATCCTTATCTATTTGTCATTCACAATTTAACCAACTTGATTTGAATTAAAGTAAAATAAAGTTCTATCTTTTCTTTGTTTATTCTTAATTTATCAAGTAGGAAATAAAGAAATTTTCCCAGCATTGCACAACCACCCCAGATCATGTAAGAGTAGCTTTCTAGAACGCTCTTTGCCAGACACACCCAAGTGTTTCACCTTTGGACACTATGTAATGAGCTGCCCAAGCAACTTTATTCCAGACACTAGTTGTGCAGGGCACTGGCTGTTTACGTAAAATGTGTAAGAGATTGGTAATATGTTTACTGCATCTATAGTACCCCCTGGGTGTTTGATTTCAAAATGAAACCTGGTATCATTACTCATTTCTCTGTAGCAACAGCTTCTAAAGACCTGAGATAATGTAAATGAAAACATAGAACATTTGGACAGCAGAATTAGGAAGATCTTATTGTCCAGAGGATGTTCATCCTGCCATGGGAGTCTGGCAATATTGATAGCTAAGCTAAACTTAGAAAGAGAGGCTTTCATAAAAATGTTTTGAACATATATTCCAAAGTTCCCTTCTATACTCTGGTTTCTCTTCATATCACAAAAATCTTTTGCCTTTTAAAGTTCCCTTCTACCTCTTATCTTCCCATCATGATCCTCTAAATATCCACATCTACCAATGGAAATGTAAAGAACCTTCTCAGGCAAAATGTCCTACTTCCCCAAACTTACTTTTCATCCTGCAAGATATTTAATCCTGCTTTGGCTTTTTGAACTTTTGGATTTCTGTGACATTGAAGATCCATTCAAAATTCCTGAAATCTGGGCTGTATTCAACATCTTGGCACCTGGTTCCAAACATCAAAAATCATAACTTATGCAGAAAAGATAGGGCAGTCTCTATTCTTCACTTCTCCTTCTTTGGGGTGGTAGATGCAGGGACACTATAACTTGCGCCATGATCTGGAGATACTTCTGAATAAAACAGAAGTATCTTACTTAAAGTATATCTGTGATGGACAGGGCTGCCATTCAAAGCCACATTGACTGCTTGGTGTAAGGCAGGATACTTTGATTGCAAGCAACAGAGACCGCCTTTGGCCCACTTAAGAAAAAATGCAAATTTATTGGAAAGATATGTGGTGACTTATTTAATTGAAGGAACAACTAAAGAACAAGAATCTGAAGGGGCAACAGCACGGCTCCCCAAAGAGCCAGGAATCTGAGGCTCATCTCCAGCCCTGCCAGGATGTTACTCTTGGAAAGAAGTGAACTTTACCATCTTTGCATCACTCTGCATGACATCCAGAGTCGCAAGAAAGTCTGATTGGGTCACACCTTGGCTAGGAAAGGCAAAAACACGAAAGTCCCCAAAACAGTGGAAGAGAGGTAATTCCCCAGTAGGATTTAGGATGCTATTACCAAGAGAAAGGGGGAAGGATATTAAAATGGACAAAACCAAATGTCCTATTTAGGCCTTCTAGCAGGAAATGAGAAAGGGAACAGTTTGGAATTTTTTTTTTTTTTTTTTTACCCACTTCAAATTCATTCTTAACTTTATGCTAATAACCTCTGATGATTGTTAATATAACCATTCACCAAAATCCATATAGAATTTGTCTTATAAAAGTCAAGAGCACTGAGGGAATTACTGCTTACTGTGGTTCTTTTCATTACTGAGTTGTCTTTAATTAGATTTTGCTACTATGTTGATTTTATAAATAGAGAAAACAAATCCCCAAGTAAGGCCCTCTCTTTATTCTTTGGTCTGCCATTCCTTGCACTCTGGTTCATATCAGGACCCCTCACTGGGCTCTCCAGCCACAGGAAGCTTCCTGGCACAGTGTGGTCAGCTGCTTCTTGCTGCCTTAGTGGGAAGGATATAATTCTCCCCTCTCATCTCCTGAGGTACCCACTTACGCTCCAACACTGGTCTCTCCTTCTCATTCCACCCTCTCTCCCAACTCATCCTTCCACCACCTCTTCAAAAAATATAGCCATTGTTATATTAATTATGCTTTGAATTAAGAGAAGAAAAGAAGAGGTGGGAGAAATTAACAAAGTGAACTGCATAAGATGAGGGGTAGAAGGGGGTGGCTCAACATGAAATAATATAAAATCTTAAAGAATAGATTTAGCCCCCATTCTGTCTTTTTGTACTTATTTTCTGGTTCTTCCAAAGACAAATAGCTGATAGTCCTATTGTAGTACTTTGCACCTTGTCAAATTCCATGACATGCTAGGTCTGGAAGGGGTGATATCCAAGGCTGGAATAACATGCTTAATCCCTCTGGGGGTTAGAGATGAGACCACCGAGTGGGGCAGGTTGCAGGGGACAGACCCAGCAGCTGGAGTAGAAAGAAAGCTAATCCCGTAGGCAGAACATGGACTCAAAAAAGAGTGTGCAGTGTGGCCTATGAGGGTGATCAGACCTAGATAGATGGGGTGTGTCCCTACTAGCAGACAGGAAATGATGGAATAAGAATATACTTGAAATTTTGCGTTCTTGGTGTCAGAGAAAGCAGAGGAAGTGTAGCCCCCAGCACAAGGCACATGTCCTAGAGTTAGGAAATGATAAGAGCAAGAAAGAGCTCTGAAAGAGAGAAGAGGTTCTTATGTTTAGTAGGTATATGAATCTGCTGGTTCGCTGGACATGTCAGCCAGGCAGGATGGGCTAGATTATGCTGCAGCAACAAACAGCTCCCACATCTCAACAGCCTGTGTTCATCATGGGTCAGCTGGGGACTCTGCTCCACTCATCCTTACTCTGGGATACAGGCTGATGGAGCAGACAGGGTCTTAAACGTTCCCTGGAACTGTGACAAAGGGGAAGAGAGCTCTGGGGAATGGAGAGGGGCAATTAAATGGTCCAGCCCAGAAGTAACACATGTCAATTCTGCTCATGACTCATTGGCCAGAGCCAGTCTCTTGGCCCTAACTAACCACAAGGAGGCCAGGAAGTGCATGCACCTGAAAAGGTGTTGGGGCAGGGGGAGGGCTTAGCGTACATAGCAAACAGCGGTCATAACAACCGAAAAGGCAAACTCCAGGTCCCTTTCCAACAGGTTCTGACTCCAGAGCCACAGATCCTGGGATCTGCATTTTAAATAGGTCACCTCAGGTGAAGCTGATGCAGGGAAGGTTCTTGGGGCCACAATTTAAAAAACACTGTCTTAGAGCACTGCCTCAGTATTGGTGACTGATCAAGAGGACTGGAACAGATCAGAGATACCAGCTGTCAGAGCTGGGGTCTTGAGCCAAGCCTGGGTCACCTCACATTGGAAACAAACTTATCAAAGAAGGCCACAAGATACCTGGACACTGAGACCCAGAGGGCTGTACAAATCCCCTGAAATGCTCAGACCCTCAGGTGTTGTAGAGCTCCACCAGATATTGGGAGATAATGTGGACAGGCTCCAGGCAATGATGATTAGATGTGATCTAAAGTATAAATTTATATTAGCAGAAGTTCATTGTCCAGTATACATACTTCATTGTATAATCACTTTTTTTCTTTTCTCTGCTCTTTTCGTGCTTCTCTCTCCCTTTCTCTACCGCCCACACTCCGTTCTTCCCCATGATTCTCTTTTTTTCCTTCCTTATTTTTATTTCTGCCTCCCCCTTCAATTCTTCTCCTGTCCCTCAACATTTCCTCTTTTCTATCGCCCTTCTCCATCCCTTTCCTTCTCCCCTGCTCTCTCTACTCTCATCTATTATTATCCCCCTTCCTATCCCTCCCATTCCTCCTTGCCCATGGCACCCGCCCCCTCTGTTCTTTTTCCAGGTATTATGCCATCTGCTGCCAGCCTTTGGTCTATAGGAACAAGATGACCCCCCTGCGCATCACACTAATGCTGGGAGGCTGCTGGGTCATCCCCATGTTTATCTCTTTTCTCCCTATAATGCAAGGCTGGAATAACATTGGCATAATTGATTTGGTGAGTACCCACACAGTCCCCACTGGTTTCCACAGAGACTACCTCTTTGCTTGTGATTCTAAATAAGCAAATAACATCAGGTTGGGTGAATATTTCTAAGAAAGATGCTGATAGTAGCCTGAGTGACAACAATAAACTAAAAGCTAATATTTTTGAATACTTATTTTATGCCAGAAATTACATTAAATACTTTCTGTACAACCCTAACAACATCCTTTTGGGAAAGAGATAATTATTTTCCCAGTTTAACAGATGAGAAAAACCAGGCTGAAAAAGGTTAAGTAACTTGCTCAATGTCAGAAAGCTAGAAACAGCAGAACAAGTGATCAAAGCTTGGCAGTTGGACTTCAGAATTGAGCCTGAGAGATATGATGTGTTTCAAGAGGCCTTCATCCCATTTCATACTGAGAATATATGAGGTCTGCAATGACCCAGAGAAGACACGTGAAGTGGGTGGAGGCTGCCGGGAAATGAAGAGAGCACTGGGCCAGGAGTCAAGGGAACTGGGTCCCAAGCCCCTCTGTGTCACTGATCCACTTCCTGGGGGAGGTGCTGAGAAGATCCATCAGTCCTCAGTGGAGAAGAGTGTCTGCCAGGAGTGTAGGATTAGGACATATGGCTCATGTGCCAGGTAATTGTCAACCCTTGTCTAGATGATCTTTAAGAGTCCCTCCAGCTGTGACATATTATGTTTGTAATACCAAACTTGTAATGAAGATCAAAAGCTATGGTCTGGATTCATTAGCAGAGATATATTCCCTAAGGAAGGAGTCCTTGGCTGGCACAGTTAAGGCAGCTCAACTACTAACTGAAATAGGCAGTTCAAATCAACCCAGAGGTGCCTTGGAAGAAAGGCTTGGCAGTCTACTTCCAAAAGATCAGAGCCACTGAAAACCCTAATGGAGCACAGTTCTGCTCTGACACACATGGGGTTGCCATGAGTCAGAATCAACTCTACAGAAACTAGTTTGGTTTATTTCCTAAGGAAGTTGTCAAGAAGTCACTTTAAAATTAATCCCAGGATCCATATAGGTGTAGGAAGGGGAATGGAAGGGAGAGGTTGAGAGCAACAGGACCAACACCTCCAACTGGAACAGGAGCTACCTCTTCCTCTCTACTCCCATTCCTAGTCCCTAATCTCTATTATTTTGTTGTGTGCTGTCAAGTTGATTACGATTCATAGCAACCCTATAGGACAGAGTAGAACTGCTCCATAGGGTTTCCTAGGCTCTAACCTTTATGGGAGCAGATTGCCAGGTCTTTCTCCCACAGAGAGGCTGGCTGGTGGGTTCAAACCACCGACATTTCCATTAGCAGCCGAGTGCTTAACCATTGTACACCAGGCCTGCCTTATTCCTTGTCCCAGGAAAGGCTGTCCTAACCAAGACCTAGGTCAGGATTGGCATGTGGTATGTCAGAGCAAGAGTTCCTCGGACTTCTGAAAGAAATGCTGGGAGCAGGGAGTGGAGAAGTAGAGGGTCTGTACAAAGGAGACTGTAGGGATATTTCCCTCTTCTTTCAAACTCTCAGTTCTATCATTCCTGGAGGAAATGCAATCTAAGTTTCAAAGAACCCATAAAAGAAAACAAAACTCTTTGCAGTTGAGTCAATTCTGACTCATAGCAAAATCATTGTAGAATATTAATAGCCAACAAATGTTGAGCACTTACCATGTACCAAGAACCATGCTAATCATTAGTTCTGTGAACCTTATTCAGGCCTCACAACAACCTATGCAGTGGATCTAATTATTGTCCTCATTTTATAGATCAGGAATCTGAGGATCAGAGAGATTACATCATTAGCTAACATCACACTGGTAGAAAGTGGTAATGCCTGTATCTGAGCCCAGGCTTACTGGACTCCAGAGTCCACGATCTTAATTTTTGTGCTAAACTTACTTTCTAATGGAGCATATCTTTGGAAGCATAAGCTTTTATGAATTGGATACTTTTGACGAGGGCTCAGACTCTCACCTTCTGACATAGAATTTCCAAGGTAAATAACCTGATAAATTTTTGTTTACTTAAGAGAGATAGAGGCATCCCCTATCTGAATAGCACATTCCCTATCAGACATCTGCTTACTATTAATATGCCTAATATTTGCTCTATGGGGTTGCTCTTGCATTTTATATCTATCTGCTCATTTGCACTTGAATCTACCTAGAGAGAAGCTAGCACAACGCGCATGTTCCCAATACATATATAACCAAAAAAAAAACCAAACCTGTTGCTGTCAAGTTGATTCCAACTCTTTGAGACCCTATAGGACAGAGTACAGCTGCCCCATAGAGTTTCCAAGGAGCAACTGGTGGATCTGAACTGCCAGTCTTTTTGGTTAGCAGCCGAGCTCTTCACCACTGTGCCACCAGGGCTCCAATACATATATACCTACATACTATATATGTGTAAACCTACACACACATGCAAATATAGATAATGCACAGGGCAGGAACCTACTCCAGGGACGCTCTGTCGTTGCTCAATGGAATCACCTGTGCTTTTAAAGCTAGGCTTGCTAGAAATGAAGCACTACTGCATCCACAGATTTTACAAACAGTAACCACACCAACTAACTGCAGAGTTATTAACATAATTTGAAAGGAACCCCCTCAAAATTCAGAGCATGTTCAGATAACTATTTTCTCTAAGAAAAATCAACCTTGAGAGATGCAAAAAATCTTTAAAATCTTTTCTCTAGATTCCACCTAGATGGAAAACGAATGCCTTCAGGTGTTTGAAGTGTTTGAGGGAAAAATAAATTGGCTCAAAATTAACTATTGCAGTTCCTGCAGGAAGTCCTCCCTGACCTTGAAGGCTAGGAAGTCTTCCCCCGCTTGTACCGCTTCTGGATCTGTGTTTTAATTGCCTATTCAGCTCTAGTCAATAGAAATATAATGGGAGCTGCAAGTGAAAGCCGCATAGATAATCTTAAATTTTCTAGACGTCCCATTAAAAATGTAAAAACAAACAGGTGAAATTAATTTTAATAATGTTTATCTAACTCAGCATATCCAAAATATTATCATTTCAACATGTAATCAATATAAAAATATTAACGAGATATTTTACATTCTTTGTGTAGTGCTGTCTTCAAAATCTGCTGTGTAGTTTACACTTACAGCACATCTTAATTCAGAACACAATTCAAGTGCTCAGTAGCCACATGTGGCCGTGCCGACTGTATTGGACAGCACAGATCTAGAGCCTCAACTAGATTCTGTGCTCCATGCAGACATGGCTGCCTCAAATTCTAGCACATTTCCTGGCTCATAGTAGCTTCCCAATAAATATTTGTTAAGTGGATGCAAAAGATTCTGAAGAGTAGCAGGGCGACTGAAAGTTCTTGAAGCAGTCAGCGATGAAAAGATCAATAGAAGTCTTCCCTGTCTGTCATTCAGCTGAATGAACTTGTACCAACTTGAAAACAAAGTCTGAAAAGTTCTTAGGAAATGACAGAAAATATAATGCATTCTTCTCTTAAATTTATTTGTAAACGTATACTATATTAATCTTTTATTCATGCAACACTTTAAATTTTTTTCAAAATATTTCTAGCAGCATTATATCATTTTCTCTATCATTTTATTCTCACAACACCTCCATAAAGATAGGCAAAGAAAACAATCTCCCTGTGACCATTTCACAAATGAGGAAACTAAGGTCCAGTGGGGTTATGTCATTTGCCTAGGGTTTTGTTATTGTTTGAATTAGGATCCAAAGGCTAGGGTTTTGTTATCGTTGTCATTTTAATAAATTATTTTAAAAGGTATTCATGGTAAGAAATTCAAACAGAACAAAAAAAGAATACAATGAAAATTAAATAAGATCTCCCTTCACCCGAGACCGCCAATCCTTTTCCAAAAGACAGCTTCTGTCAACCTTTTCTTAGAATTCCTAAAGTGGTGCAGGCACATACAAACATACACAAATAAATGTGTGGGTATGAGTGTGGGCGTACGTACACACACACACACAAATACCTGTATTATATTTGTAACAGTCGTGTGTATATGTACACACATATATGTATCTGTATGTATATATTTAAACAAAGGGAGGCATACTAAATACATATTCTGCATCCTGATTTTTTCATGTCTTAGAGATATGGAACTATGCATATAGAGGTACTTCATTTTTTTTAACTGGTATGTAATATTCTATAATATTGATAATCCATAATTTATTTAACCATTCCCTATTGATGGACATTTAGGCTGTTTTCATTTCTTTACTGTTCTAAACAGTACTGCAGTGAATATCCTTGTATTTATATGCACCTGTACCAGTATATTTTTAGAATAAATTCCTGAGCAAGAGATTGTTAAGTCAGAGTATGTTGAATTTAATTTTTTTGTGGGTTTTGCCAAATGGCCCTCTTAGTAATTTGCTCCAATTCACACCCCTACCAGTTATGTATGAAATCGTGGGTATCCCCCCTCACCCCACACCTAAGACAGGAGCTTTGACACCTAGTCCAGTGCTCCTTCCAGTCCCTGGCAGCACCTCCAGGCCTTGAACAGGAGAGTAAAGTTGCTGAGTTGTGCTTTTGGCAGAGCCTTCCCCTTCGTAACTGAACCCTCCTAACCTGCCCACCTCCTACATCCACAGATGCACACACATTTACTTCCCTTCTGTATGCAGTTCATCACCACTTCCTTTCATTCATGCAATTCACCTTTATTTTACATTTCCATTTCCAGAACTACTGCTTCAGCCCAGGTAGAAAATCTCATGGTGAAGTTTCTGCAACATGCACCCCCGACACAGCCAATTTACACATTGTTTTATGACTGTGTTTCTAAACTTAGACTCTGGTTAATAATATCATCATGTTTTCTTTTCATCATCACTACTGTTTATTGAAAGCTCAGGCTGCTAACCAAAGGTCAGCAGTTCGAATCTACCAACCGCTCCTTGGAAACCCTATGGGGCAGTTCAGTTCTATCCTATAGGGTTGCTATGAGTTAGAATCGATTCAATGGCAATGGATTA